TATCAGTAAAAAGTTTCCAAAGGCTAATGAAAGCACACGCAACTCGTCAGTACAATGCAGACAAAAACACAGTAACGTGTCGAGCGGCTTTTTGTCGAAGCTCTCGCCTGGGGACACTTATCTGCACGCGGTTGAGCTCGTAGCTGCCTTACCCTGATAGCGCTGGACATTATAAGACACACTGATCATTCCACGGGGCAAAATAAAAAATATATTTGTCTGTTTTCTTTTTCCAAGTGTTTCCTATCTGTAGTGAGCGTGATATGGCAAACGATAGCAAATTGTATAACCTTAAAACCTACGGTGTAATTGATTATATAGCAGGAAGAGATGGGCTGAACAATACAGGAAAGCAAGTAATTAACTTGAGGTCAATTGAAAAGGAACACCAACAAATAAATCAAACAGCAATATGTTAATGTTTATTTATAGATGCAGCAGCCTATTTGATTCGGAGAGTAGCCAAACACGTTCTGTAATATTAAAATAAGCATAGTCCACTCTTAACTCATTCCATAAACCAGTGGCATCATGTAACCAACATGAAAAGACATACAGTTCATAGGCTATATCACAGATATTAGACTGTAGCTGCTACAGGCCACTCAAATTGAACAAGTGAACGAGAAAATAGAATTAATACAATAGGCTTATAACTTATCTCAAAGCAAAAATAACTGGCCTATGAATTTTTAAGGTTTTTAAAGATGTGCTTCATGTCCTCCCACTCTTATTTGACACATAGGCTAAAGCCTAAGCCACATTATTTGCGGCGCACTTTAATCGCATTAAAATGTTTAGCTGCTTCTTTAAAGTCAAATGTATCCAGCCCCTTGCCGCCACAGCTGGCAATCCGCATGATCCGAGTAACTTTTTCCTCTGACAGGCGACTTCTCAGAGACGTTTTGATTCGGTTTTGGAGTGAAAACCCCCGTTCTGCTGGTACACTGGACACGGGTATGGTCAGGGCTATTTGTCCAAGTTTTGCCCAGTCGGGAAACATTTCTTTTAAGTCATTTATTACCACTTTGCATCCGGTATGAAACGACAACCCCCCATAGCCGCGTAATGCCATCATTAGAGGGAGAGCATCTTTTTCTGCGTCTTGGGCACATATGAGCGGTTGCACCTGCCCAGCAGGAGTCATTTTTGGTGCGCCGTAGTGCTTTGTTATTGGCATTACTGCACTCTCAGCGTACTGCTGCAGATTAGCTGCAAAAAAACAAAACAACGTTAGCCTCACAGATGGTGCCATAATAATTAATAATTTAATAATTAATAATAATAATTTTCAATATTGATCGGCTAGTTTTACCATCTTTTTCTGGATATCTGCTTGGATTGAAGACCATGTCGAAGCAGTTCAGGAGGCTTAGATCATCAGTCGGGAAACGCCTTTTCAGCGACTCGATGAGGTGTTCGATGTATTGCTGTCGGGAGCTGTCAAAAGCCCGCACATTTTTCTCCGAAGCCTGTGTAATTTTAACACATTTAAACTCGCTTTTTGTTACATCGAAGTCTCTTTTTAAGTTGCGTTCTTCTGGGCCTGCGTTGTCTTTGAGCTGATCCAAAGCGGACACGGAGGCCTTTACCATGGGAGCGATGCTTGCCAAGTTTACGTCTTCCTTTTGGAAACACAGATTTAATTTGTTCATCACCGGGAGGATGTCTGAGAGGGCATAGGTAAGTGCAATAAATCCATACGTCTGTATTTGATTGAGAATGCCACGGGCTTGAGGGTTGCCTTTTGCAGCCTCTTCGTGTAGCTCCATCACGAGCGCTGGCCAGTTGTGTCTGATGGCCTCAACCGCTTTCCCCAGTGACAGCCATCTCACTGCACACTGCTGTTTCAGGCTGGTCATATCTCCTTCATCGAGAGTGGCAGAGAGTTGTCGCAAACGATTTGTTCTGGTTGCAGAGTGTTTATAAAAGGTATACACGCTGTTGATGGTGCGCTTATAGTCCGCAATCGTCTTCACCGCTTTGGACGCGTCGGTGGCAGCCAGTGCCACTCGGTGTGCAATGCAGTGGACTTGGAGACTGTACGGGCTTTCTTTTTTCAAAAGTGCCCCGACTCCAGAGTGCGTTCCCATCATTACGCTGGCTCCATCCGACCCCAGGCTTGTGACGCGGCCCATAACTATGCCTCTTTCTTTTAGTGCAGCCTTCACTTCATCAAAAATACACAGAGCTGTTCCTGAATGGATATTGTAATTCCCTAGGAAGCACGTTTCCACTTTCCCATTGTTTTCGAGTTTTATATACATTATGAGTTTTTTATTGACTGTGATGTTTACCGTTTCATCTATTATCAAGCCAACAAAGTCACTTTTCTTTATTTTTTCGTTTACTTCATTAATTATAGTTTTTTCTAAACCCTTTTCCATGTCATTTACAGACTCGTCGTGTTTGTATAAAATGTTACTTTTAAAGTCAGGAGCATCAACACTTTGCATCAATTCCAACAGTCCACAAAACTGATGACAGGGTATATCGTTTTTAGCCATGTAAAAAACAACCTTCATCTGTGAAGTCAAGGCGTTTCTGCTTGATTGGAGCGCTTTATCACAATGCTGTTTCATAGCGCTTTGTTGTTGCGATAAATGCACAGCGGACAGGTGCTCTGAGCTTTGGCTGTGCTCTAACAGTGTAGAGGCTTTATAGTTAATTGATCCTTTGGTGAAACCGTTATATTTACCGGACTTCTCACAAATGATGCAAAACATTTTGTCAGTCCCATCCATTAGCTCTCGCCTTAACCATTTGAACCGATCCTGCCACTCGGGCTTGTAGTATCTTCGAGCTTTTTTTGCTCCTCCGACATCATTTTCATTTGCACCAGATGCATGGCGCTTTTCGGGAGGTCCTGATTCTTCCGTTGGTGTATAGTCACTTGTAGATTGAGTAGTAGATGTTTTCTTGAAGAAATGAGCGAGAGAGGATTGCTTCGACATTGTTAGCGTAGGTTTCAAATCTCGCGCCGCGAACCAGAGGGCGTTAACGACGTCATGGGGTGTGCTAATCCTAGGCATTCACGACCACCTTTTAAACCACAAGCCTTTAAAACGACCACATTTATTGATTTGTTGTCTGATTTAAGTGATTTATTTATTGCATAGTGATAATAATGATAATTATAATTTTTATTGTAACTTAATTTTTTTTTTTTTCAATCAACCGACGTGGCCGACGGCACTTTTTTTTCTCGGCCAAAGACATATTTTACCGGCCAAAAGCCGGCTACAGCCGGCTAACGGGAACCCTGGTCTGGACATGAACTCTCGAAAGGGACTCGGATGTACTTTTGAATTTATTCCAAAGGTATTAATGGAAGTGGACAGAAGAAAGCTCTCCAACAAAGTTCAAATTCTGAAAAACAAACTGCACGAACATATCTAATCAAGACTTAACTGTTTCAAAATGTGTTTGGACTATGTTTCATCAGTGGATATCACACCGTACATGCAACAGAGAAGAAATGGACTTTGTAGGCTGAAAAGACTCTTCGATATACATCCTGTACTATGTGTGTTGTGCTGTGCTCTTGAGACTAGCTTAAATGTACTCTTTTGAAAAAAGTAATACACAGATGGATGGACCTAGACACACAGACGGACAGGTACACAGAGTGGAGACAGAGGGCCAGGGACACAGACTGATGGAGACGGACAGACAGAGACACAGACTGATGGAGACAGACTGAAAGAGGGACAGGGACGCAGATAGACGGATGGAGACACAGACGAACAGACTCAAACGGACCGATGCTCACTTACTCACTGCATGTTTTTGCATTGCTTCTTACTCCAGACGAGAATTTGGAAGTAGCTGTTAATTTCAAAGTTTAGTCCCAAATGTAAAAGTTAAAAGCAAATGTTTAGTTGGTCTACATACATTTGGTGGGTAGCTGTTGGGGTTTAGCAATTCTGTTGGCAGTCTTTAGCCAATTTTCAGAGTGAAAACATTAACTACACACAACCACTGTTATTATTTAAGACATTTAATAGGCAGTTCCTAGTGCTCTGCAATGTGTATTTACATTAAAGTGTTTCATGAAAAGTTACTTTGATTTAAATATGGGATCATTTATGCACTTTACATTTTTAATTAATTGTATATTTTTTATTTAAAATGTTTGAGTTGGTACATGTGTTAAATGGGTGGAGAGAAATTACCTGTTTAAATAAAAGCTTGAATATAAATAAGCACTTTATGTTGTATTTATTTAACTTAACAATGTAGCCATTACTACTTTAGTTTTGTTGAATCAACACAAGCCCACTACATAAATATAATTAATTTCTGTTAAGTTGATCAAACTTAACAGTGTTTGGTTGAACCAATGTGAGATTAGTAAATCCAACATAATGTTGTTGGGCTTATACAATCTAACACTGTCATGTTACTGTAAAGTGAGAATGTTGAGTATACTTTATCTAACATCTGGTGTTCAAATTAATTGTGATTTGCATTTCCAATTTAAACAACACAGTTTCGTGGAACCGGTTGCCATAAAAAAGTTAAGTGAAGTCAACATTTCATTTCTTACAGTGTGTAAGAGGTGTAGACTCCTGATTTTCTTAAAATTATGCTTTTGCGTTAAGCATGTTAAAGAAGTATAGATTTCAACTATTTTCTTGTATAAACTGAAGATAACAAAATCAAACTGTAGTAAATTGTTCAATGAAACTAATTAGAAATAGAAACAGTCATATGGTGTAATAATATAAAATTAACATTATAGTGCTGTTTTTGTTGTATGTGAATAACAGGAACATACAATAAAATCCTGAAATCACAAAGACATAATGTGATTCTTTAACCGTCAAACGGTAATGCCATGTTGAGAAAACGCTAAATCCCTGGAATCATATTTGCCAGCTTTTTACCGATTTTTTACAAGGAAATTCTTTACAGTGTATGTACAAAAGTCTGTATCCATTTTAACTGAATTAAAATATGAATGTCTATTTTTCTTGTACTTGTCTGTGTGTGCTCACCAGATGTGTAAGCAGCTGAGCAGTGCAAACATCAGCCCAGTGATGATTGACAGGGGGACGGCCAGCAGCACGGACGCCGCCCGGTAGATCCAGACCCGGGACACTTCAAACAGGGCGTGACTCCAAAGCCACACGCGGTCCCCACTGCGCACGGCCGCCGGCTCAGCGATCACATCCTCAAAGTTCACCTGAGAACCACACACTCCCTTTTGTTTTGCCATATTGATTGATGCCTTATGTTTTTTGTTGGATGCAGAAGACATGTTTTGGTGTTAGTTGGGGCATCATCTGTCGTGGGTAGCCAGGCCTTAAATCGCAACATAATAAAAACAAATGAGAGAACTTGCTTGGTCGTGGTCTTGGGAATCAGTTATTAAATCCTCCTTTTTTTGCATCTCAACTGAATAAAATCAAATGAATGTTTCCCTCAGTATGGAATGCAAAACCTCTTCACAACATATCTTATTATTATTATTATTATTATTATTATCATCATTATCTTTATTAATATTATTATTACTACTACTATTGAAGTGTTGTGTGGATACCTTGAGGGCGTCGTTGATGCCTCTTGGGTCTCTAGAGTTTATCAATGGTTTTGTGTCACTGATCTCCACCAGCGCTGACGTGTGGATGCTGTCCTCCTCTTGGAACGCAGGGGGCGCCTTCTTCCACAAGACCTCGGGATCTTCTCCGCTGTCACAGTCTTCACTCGAGTCCAGGTCAATCTCCACCTCCTCGGATTCCTCCCCTTTCCTCAGGTTCTCCATCGCCACATGTGAAGAACACGCAAGAGCCAAAGGTCTGCTCCTCAGAGTCTGCTCAGAGCCTGTGCGTGTGTGTGGATCTGGGGTGTATTTTGGGAGTGTTACACTGCCCCAGTTGGTATTTGCAGATGGGCTGTCTATACTGGAGATCATTTCCCCGGAGCCAAGCGGTGGGAGGGGTGTTTATAAATACAGCTCGGGCATGCCTCCTCCTTATTTATATGTGTGTGTGTGTGTGTGTGTGTGTATATATGTCCCTCCATATTTATATGTCTGTACAGTAAGTAGGGGAGGCAGCTGTTTTTCTAATATAACTTTAAAAAAATTATATCGCCTTTTTAGAGCGCTTTTCCTACAAAAGCTTCCACACATTGCTTCACAGCCGACATCACATAAGGCATAAATCATCACATACATAATAAACATTAAAATCACACAGGACATCAAAAACCTTTAAGATTATATGAAATATTAAAGATGAACAAATAATTACTGCTGTATACTCATGTGAGTCGGTTATACATTTCTTAAAACGGGGTGTCACTATGTTGTAATTGCACTACAATATCTTTTTTGAAAAAAAAAAACTGTATTGTGCTTTTATCTTTTTTGGACAGACATAACAATAATGTATGTAAAAATATATTGCTTGCTCTTATTTCATGTAACCAAGTGAATATATAGAGATTGAATATCAACCCTTGTTAGTCTCACTCCAAATCCATCAATTTAAAAGTTGGTTGGAAACTCCATTTTGATATCATGCATGTTTCTACTTCAGCAGATGCACTACCGCTGCAGCAGCAAAATAACAGACGCAAAAAGCCAGTTAAAGTATAGAGCCAATTAAACTGTTATACATGTGTTGGTATAGTTATTTTATTATTATTATTATTATCAAATAGTCAGTTCACTATTTGAAATATGAAACAGAAATCCCCGCACTGAAGACCTTTCTCCTGAAGCTGCTCATCCGTCCTGCCTCTGTATGCAATGTCCTTTTCCTTTTGAACAAAACACTTCACGCTCTCAACCTTTGGACTCATTTGCAGAACTTTTATGAGTATAACCGCCTGTTTGGAAATGTATGACACCTGTATATGGCAGAAAATAACTCTGCCATTGACTTGCATTTCTCTTAAGAGTAAACAAATAGATTAAAAGGAATATTGTGTTTGTGGAATGAGGGGCTAAATCAAATTATGCAGCAGACAGTAGCTCTAGCCTGTGAACACCAGCCTGCATGTGACACTCACTGGGAAACAGCAGCTTCATCTCCATATTTATCTCTGTAACATGTTTCCTGACTGAAAAAAAAAAAGATCTCAGCATGGCTTAACTTTGACCATTTTGATGAGGTATTTTGTATTGATCAATTTTGACATTTAAACGTGTGAAATGTATTGTTCTTTCCAAGATTGAAACTGTAGTAGACCTTTTATTCTAAACACATTTTTATGTCAAATGATACAGGCTTCAGTATTACATAACCTCAGTAGCTACACTACAGACATCAGACACACAGGATCTGTCTGTGGCTGCAGAGACAGAGGTATGCTAATGGCTCTCACCTGAACATATGGCCTGAGCTTGTGTCCACTGCAGAGCATGATGTCATGGAGATAGTGAGGAGCCTATTCTGCTTTTAGAGAATAAATAATTAACTCAATCTTTTACTTTTCCAACTTTACACCAATCTTTCCACCAGGTGAGGCTCATTCCTGAAGTGTCATGATGATGAAGACATTAAGGTGCATTAGTGCAGCATGTGTTGCTCTTAGTGGGGGTTCATGAGGGTGTGAACATAAAAGGACCTCAAAATAATATGTTTGGAAATGAGTCACAAAAAACTTCCAGGCTTCATCTTGTGATCTCTTCAAACAAGATTCATTCTTTTATCTGATTGCTGCTGTAGCATTAGGCGTTTGTTTATAGCTCTTGATATAAACTATAAAGGGGCAAATGCCTTTTAAATCCCACAAATCCAAGTAAAACTACACATCAAATGTTTTTGGGGATTCTGACCTGAAAAGTTAGGAAACCTCAGAGTGAAAACACCCCCATATCATCTGTGAAAGTCCACTTTCCTCAACACAGGATCTGATATGACCAAGCAATGAAGAGTCCAGCGTCAATGTCAAAGTTGATCCGGGCTCACAACCCCAAAGCTAAATTCTAACCCTATACTCAACCCCTAACCCAAACCTGTTGTCTGTGGAAACAACTTTGGCATTGATCCTGGACTCTTGACTCATCAGCCTGAGTCCTGGATCTACAGCCCGTCTGTTTGTGGGAGCGAATCCCCACGGTTTCTCAATTTTCTACGACTAGGTTTTTAGAGTTTTTCCTTGCCAATGTAGGAGGGTCTAAGGACAGAGGTGATGATCCAGGACACTCGACATTCAACAACATTTATGAACTTGAGCAACATCATCTGTCCCTTGATTCTCTGATCTGTGTTGGCAAATTTGATGATTTTGTAATGTCGTCCGAGATAATTACTGATCATCCAAATTGCACACATTATATGATCACGAATAACTAGCACAAGTATATAAAACACACACACACACAGACCAGACAGAGATAGACGCACTCATAGATGGTAGATATGTAACCTTTTATACTTACATATATTAAATATATATATATAACAAATATTTTGTCCTAACCTTGACTCCAGCAACACGGTTGGATTGGGACATCTGTTTTCACATCAATTGCGAGGCTTATATGGGTCATGTGTCTCACTCTGCACCTGTCAGTCCAGATGTGATCAGGACATGGCACAAAACGCTCACATTTATTAAGGTTACATTATTCTTCACACTAAATTCACCAACTGAGGCTGAATGCTACTTCAGCCGAACCATCTCTAGTTATGTTAAATAATTCAGTCCAGTCCACTCTGTAGTGCACTTGTTCTCGGAAAAGTCTCTGTTGTCCTCTGCACCCACGGCTCTGTTCTTCCTTTGATTCATCTCATTGAACTGTTTGCAGCCAGCTCTGGCGGAGGGGGACATTTACTATTAGCCCTAGACCAACAAAGAATAACAACTATCCATTTCGAAAAGACAAAGGGGCTGTTTGATGTGGAAGGGATGCGGAAAAGAAGAAGTGTGTTTGTCTTGACAGAATAAAGGACACTCTCCAACTTAATTAGTCATGTTTTCTGTAAGGAGAGCTGCAAATTCACAATAACAAAAAGGCAGAGCTGCTTTGATGTGTTATACATACGATATGGTTTATTTTATAAAATGTATTGCGTGTGTTGTTTAATGTTTCCCTTCTTCTTCACATGCTGCCGGTCATAAATGTGCGTGATAATCTCCTGTACATATATGTAACAGGTAATAGCGCGGCCCATTGAGCTGTTATGAAATGTTCTTTGCTTCTTATATAATCACGTGCACTGGGTTTAAACAGACAGAATGTACACTTTACCTTTTCCATTATGTTTGTTTGTTTATTTCAAACCTGCAGGTACACCAGACAACCATTAAACAAGTCATCATCATGAAGGCAAAACGACCTTTAACCTTTTAACACCCACTCCTTGAAGAAAACAATGTATTTTTCTTTCTTTTATGGATTTTCTCTCTCACTAATAACACAAATGATTCATTTTGACTTAATTTTTTAAAGACTTTAATATTATAGGCCTTTACCAAATGGTTGAGATGCAGTTTGATAGTAAAAGTGCCAAAAACCAAATGAAATGCCCTAAAGAGTAAGTTTCAGTTCCAAGCATGCTTAAGCACTGTATATATATTGAATCAAAAGGTGATCCACCAAATATAGTGGAAACCAGTGGAGTGAGGAAACTATTAAAGGGGTAAAAATGACAGGAAACTGGTATGAACATCTTCACGTTACTTTGTCTATAATATTATTTGAGTCAAGTGGGACCTGGCTCGGGTTTGGTCTCTTATCTTGTGTGTGTCGCTTCTGTATTTGGGTTTTTTAGAACTGACTTGTATACGTATCTTCTTTCGTATACAAAAGAAGATACGAATTGTTAATTCTCTGTATGTCTTTAATTGCAAAGCGCTTTGTGATCCTGGGCTGTGAAAAAAACGTCACTTACTTACTTACTCTCAGGGCCATATTCTGTGTCTGTGATGCAGATGGCTGATTCTCTGGTTGTCTGTACTCTGCCTAATGTCCGTCATTGAAGTGTTGAGTGTAATGCAATTGAATGTCTGTTAATGTCTGTATTTAGGGATTGGTGTTGTGTTGGAGGTTGTAATAACATAAACATAAACTCTATAAGTGAAGAGGGTGGTACAAGGTAATCCTCAATAATAAAAAAAAACATTTCAATAATTTATATAAATATCAATCTATTGGTATGTAAAGCAGCCTAGTTTAAAAAGCAATTGGTTATTTCTAATCCATGACATTTTTTGCGTCACAAACTGGAGTCGAGGTATGCCCTTCTGACTCTAAGTGAACTCCTCTGGTATCTGCCCTGGAATCCTCACTCCGCTCTGAGCTGTCAGGTCCAGAGTGTTCCTGGGGCTGGAGGCGGTGAAGCTGGCCCTGGTGTCCACCGTGCAGCTCGTGCGGTGCAAAAACTGCAGAAAGTTCTCTTGACCAGAGCCCTCGTGACTGGACACCATATCTGTGGGGTGCCCTGAGTAACAGCGCCTCAGTTTGCACAGCTCCTCTCGGATCTGCCTGTTCAGAAGCCCGTAGAAAAAGGGATTGATGGGAAAGGAGGAATACGCCAACCAGGTGACGACCCTGTCTAAGTCATCCGGGATTTGTGAAGATGCGTTGACACCGATATGGAAGTGAAACGCAAAATAAGGCAGCCAGCACACCAGAAACTGCCCCACAATGACTATGAGAGTGAGGGCTGCTTTTCCCCCAACTAAAGGCTTGTCCCGGGCGAGTCTTAGAGGAGCTGTGCGTGTTGTGATTATAGTGGTCTGGCTGTTGATGGAGTCAGACCGCTGCTTGTTCTGTGTCCAAGAAGGCAAAGGTCCATGTTGGCGGGCAGCGACTCTTGCCACTTTATAGACATTACAATAGACAGTGAAAATGACCAGCGCTGGTACCAGAAAACACATGATGCCGAAGAGGACAGAGAAGACTTGTCTGTGGTGACTGTGGCCCCAGTGTAGGGCGCAGAGACGGGGCTGGATTGTGTCGAGTCCGCTGGAGGAGGGCCAGCCGAACAGAGTGGACAGTCCCAGCGCCAGAGAGACCGTCCATACCAGTGCTGTGATGGCCGATGTCAGGCGGACGGTCATCTTCACCTCGTATCGCATAGGGTGCACGATGTAGTAGTATCTCTCCACGCTGATCACGGTGATGGTGAAGACGGAGGCCGCGACGAGGGTCACGTTGAGGAAAATGTACACCTGAAGGGGAGACAAGAAATAGAATAAACAAATGGGATGATGTAGGAGAGTCCAAGAACAATGGTGATGATCCAGGCCCCTTGATACAGTATTCAATGATATTTATGGACAAAATCACACACACAAACAGACATAGTTCAGGCATTCTTTTTTTTGGTTGCTATTTCCAAGGAGAAATGTCCAAACAAAACAAGGCCCATGCTTCCTCTTGGCAAAATTAATTGACATGCAAAACCCCTTTTGTCCACACTGGCTGGATTCAAAGGTGAATTACAATACAACAATTTCAGTATACAATGTATTTCAGCCACATATTTGATTCAAAGAAATGATTACTTAAACAACATTCTAATGTCAATCATTAACTGTGTCAAGTTTGGAGAGAACCCATGAAATCTAAGTTAATATATATTCGAAGGTGCTATCCATGGGTATAATTGAGTCGCGATTAAGTCAAAACATAATGTGATATCATTTGAATGGGATAAAAATCCACCGAACGCAGCATGAAACTATTAAGACAAAATATGGCTTTGACGTAAACTCAAATCAAGAAAGTGTTTTGTCATGAAGTTATTGCTTAAAACTGTATTATGCCTTTATCATTACCTGACACTCCACAACAGTGAAGAGCACCCCAGTGAATAGAGGCGAGCTGACCAGGATCCCCAGAGGCATCAGCAGCACCGCACACAGCAGGTCCACGCCGCAGAGATGACTCACAAACGCAAACTTCCGGAGATGAGGAGCTTTGACCACCGCCACCAGGACCGCAGTGTTGGCCACCAGCGCCAGGACGTTCAAGATCACCATGAAGACTAAACCAATCAGGCTTTTGCAGGAGGTGTGGGAGGTGGGGGAAGTGCTGAGGAGCCTGCTGGGGAGGGAGGGCAGAGGCATCCAAAGAACCAGACTGCCATTGTACTCAGGGACCGCAAACGACCGGTTCTCCTCCATCGTTCATGGTGTTAGTTTGGACAGGTGTACTTCTGATGTCTCCATTGGGCTGGAAAAAAAAAATATATATATATAGTTCAGGCATATATATATATATATACTTAATGAAAACACTGCCAAAGTAGCTCTGAAACATTGTGTATATCGTTAAATATCCATCCATCCATCCATCCATTTTCTTCCCCTTCATCCATTTCTGGGTCGGGGGGGTGGCAGTCAGAGCTGCACCCAGTCACAGAGCACAAGCCCCTCACTGATCCTCCTGCAGGTGGTGAGTCCGCAGGAGCTGAGATCTTTCAGTGGGGGCTTCAGGCAAATAGTTCATTCATTGTTAAATAGTCCTGGATATTTATTTGTTCTCCTGAATGAGTCTCTGTTGCAAATAATATGTTTTAAAATATTGTGCCAATATTAATTTAAATGTGAAGTAGTTAACTTAAATACATTGTGTTTGTCCCAACAAAAAGATTCCTGTTGGTTTTTAGTCTAAAATGTAGTGAACAATCAGACCAGATTTGGTTCTCTCGTTTTTACTTTTCTGTCTTTTAAAAACTCATCTAAAGATGTGACAAAAAACAAAAATACATGACTGAGGCCTTATAGTCATCCAAAAAGATCACAAGACAATAATCTGTTTGGACAATTGTTATTGGATCAAATCTAGATTAGTTGTTGCATCCATTTATGAGTTGAATATGAAATGGGAATGCTCAACAACCTCCAGAAATGAATTTTATTCTGATTGAATTGAATTGAATCAACACAGGCTTTTAATTAAATGTATAGATTCTACGTTGGTGAGAAACTTTTGAAAGTCCTTTATAAAAGAATAAATCTTCTCCACTGTCTTCTTTCTGGCTCTTTTTGTGTCTTTTGAGAGATGAAAGATACTGAGCGGGTTTGTGTCAGTCCAGCTGCACGATTAGTATGTGTTCAATGTCACTGCTCCATAAATTCAGCTATGGGCTTCAAGTAGACAGACGACAGAAAAACTAAGAAATGGAAAATATATTTAAAGAAGGATAAATGAAAAAAATTAGGCTAAAGCTGGAGTTTATAATGCTTAAAACAAAACAAAAAAACATGTTTAGGGTCTCACTCTCAAAGCAGTTTGATGCTATCACTTCTATCACAGAATTTATATGAGTATCTTTAGATCTGCTTTTTCTTTTTTTTTCTTTTATTACATTTTAATACAATTATAAGAATGAAAACATAAAAGAAAGAAATAAAACAAAATTATATTCGAAATCTAATATATATGGTTTACAAATACAGTAGGTGTTAAGGTGGGAGGGGTTGGGGTGGAGGGGGAGAGTAAAAAAAAAGAAAAAAAAAATATTCGGGTTGCGATTTTTATTGTTTCAGTTCTGCCTTGGTTTGCGGAGTTTCTGTATATGTATGTGAATGTGTATGCAATGCAGGGGTGCATAGGTGCTATGTTGAATGTGGTCAAATGAGTCTATATATTTTACCAAAAAAATAAAAAATAAAAATTAGATTAGTGAAGAAGAGAGAGCCACCCTCACTCAGCCAATCATCTCACAGCATGTTGTGATCCCATTTGTTCACAACATTTTATTTGTCCAAGGTTTTTTTCTGCTGGGACAAACACAAAACAGTTAGGTACTACAGCTTTCAGGTACAAACAAATTGGTCAATAATATATCATTATGAGCGATGTTTCATAGACTTTGCACTTCTGTCATGCAAATATAACACAAGTTGTAAACAAGACATGATGAAACTGGTCAGAACTGTTCCAGAACCATTTATTTCTGCTGTTTGAGAACAAAGCCTGATGGTGGCGGGATTCCGGCTGGTGTTCTAAATCCATGTGTGCTTTTCCTGCCAATGAATAAATGATGCAGAGCCATAATCTCCTGCTGAGCACCGCTGGCATGTTTGATTCAACCTACGCTCCATGTACACGCTGCAAAACATTATATAACAATAAAATATAACATACGCTGAAAATAATGCTTGAATCGACGGGTTTTTGTCTTTATTTGAGTATATTCTGACTGTGTTAAAACAAGATTGGCCAACGGGACAAAGCCATTTAGTGTAATTTCAAGAACTGTTGCTTTATTTTCTCTTTCCAAGGGAGACATTTCTTGTGTCTTTTTAAAACAAGATACATTTTGCCTGTCCCATTGGTAAATATTGTTTCAAGGCAGTCAAGATCTGCTCAAAGTTAGATACATTTGGCCAGATTTTGGCAATTTTTGACTTATTTTTCATGACTTTGTGCAGTGCAGCCATATTATGTAAGGATTGTGCTGCTCAGTGTCCATGGATGACTGACAGCAAAAAACATTATTGAATTAAAGCTAATTAAAGCAAAGCTAAACCATGTATAAACTGTATTGTTTCAAGTTCCAGAAATATAATACAAGAAAACACATATTGGTTTGAGTTAGATTTATGATTTAAAATATACTATACTCAACCCATATGCTGTATTTTTCCTGCTTGTAATTGTCTCAATACTAAATATTTCTGACGTTTCTTGTATAATTCTTTTTGCAATGAATTTTCAAGGGTCAAAACAATGTGTAGGATACCACATGGATACTATGGCATGAAAATGAACGTAAAAATAAGATTAATAAAAACAAAAGGAAACTTTACCTGCTTAATGATATGCTCTTCTTTGTGATTCTCAAAATGTATACAAATCCTGTTTTGAATTCATCTGAGTAACCTGGAATCAAGCTAAATTAACAAAAACACACTCTTACTAACAATACAGTCCATATTTCTGTAACAGTCAGAAAACAACATTATTCTTTGATGGACGGTTGTCTCTGGAGAGCAGCTTTGATGTCAGAGGCGCTGCGTGGAGAGCGGACACCGCACTGTCCACTGAGGATCAGAGGGGCAGACCAGGGGTGGAGCCAAGCCATCCCATCAGTCTGTCCTCTTTCTTCACATAAAACACCCTCCAGACACAGCAGGGGCTTCAAATCCACTTTGGTGTTAATATAAGTTATTATATTCCTTTACTCGTCTCACAGTGGGGATATTTAAATGCCATTGTTGCACTCATTACAGCAGAGAAAAAGACCGAAAATAAAAGTACTCAGATTGCGCAGATAAGACAGGATCTATCATACGATAACATTCAAATGATAAAATAATACAAGACTTGTTGCGCTCCTATCCCTGACTCTCCCTGCTCCGATTGACTCAAAATGTGAAGAAGAATAGGAAGTGCCCCTGAAGACGTTGATCCTTGATTGGTAAATCCGGAGGGCCTCAGTCTGGTCTAGTCTGGTTTGGGTCTCGCCCCCTCTCCGGTGAGATAAGAAGGAGATACTCCCTTTCTGAAAAGAATACTATTGCACAGAAACCAAGGCTTTTGATTGAACTCACTGAACTCAGGCCAACACACAATATAACAGAACACTTTTATGGAAACACTTCATGGTAAACATAAAAACACTTTATAAAACAATTTTGATATAAAATATTTAATGATTTCAAACAGAATTTCATAATTTGATGAAATGTTGATAAATGAATGAAAGAAAATAGAAGCGTGTTCGTGGATCAGCGTGTGCTGAATCTACAACAAACCTCTGCTGGAGTAAACGGAGCCAGCTGAATATTGACCAATCAATATTTCAAAGTAAGGCACATGGGACAGACTTACATATGAACTTTTATTGACCCATATGTAACAAAATACATCCGCACAGTGATAGGTGTTGATTAACAGAGATTATTGTAGCATCACATAGAAACATATTAAATATGTAATATCACAGTCTCACTTTTGTAATGCACACTTTGTCATAAAGACTGGACACGATCTGTGCCCTTTTTATTTTCCTTCTATTACTAAGGCCTCTATATGACTATTGCTATTCACTGTATATAGTCACCAAGACAACAGTCACAACCTGATAGAGACATTTACGAGCTTGAAGAAGTAAACCGTATTAAGAACACTTAGTTGAACTACATTTCAAGGTGCTGCCACACAGCTTAGTTTGGTCACAGGTTAATGCACACAGTGGACGATACAAGTGCCAAATACTTCTGAATATGATTTCAAAGTCTATAAATACAGTAAATAAAGTGTAGTTATGCTAAATGTGCAGAACAATACATTATAACAGTTGTACAGAAGTGGAAAAAACGCTTTGTTTGAGTTTCAAGTTACTGCTGTAGATCCCCCCCGTTGTCATGCAGAATTGGGAAATAGACAGGTTCAATCTTTCGTTCAGATTTGTTCAATATTTCTGGACAATACACAGGAGTTATTTTATTTTCAGATTTGCCCAAACCATGCCTTTTCTTAAACAGTTTGTCTTCATTATTCAACTTTGTCCTAATGGCAGTTTTAATAAGGCCGTGGTCGACGCCAAACTTACTAGAAATGTGTTCTGAAAAGAGTTAAGAGAAAAGATGTTAGCACAGAACAATGTAGTAATGAGGTTTAATCAGGGCATTCAGAAACTATTCAACCTCCCTCACTTTCTACAATCCTATAGCCTTTATATGTATCAAATTCTCATTTTTTCCCATCACTCCACTCACAATAGGCAAGACACTTCACCCCGATTGCCTAGAATGAGTCTGGTGTGTGTGTGAATGGTTGGTGGTGGTCGAAGGGGCCGATGGCACATACTGTTTGCCTCGCCTCGTCAGTGTGCCCCAGGGCAGCTGTGGCTACAGTAGTAGTTAATCACCACCATGCTTAGAGTGAATGAATAATTATATGTAAAGCGTCTTTGAGTGTCCAAAAAAGCGCTATATGAAACCGATTGCTGAAGTGCTGCACTGATGGGTGTCCTCCTGTAAGGTTCTCCCAGAGTGTAATGCTGAAACTTCCACTTTACTTCACCCCCAACGCTGCTCCAATATAATTCTGTCACATGAAAGCTGAGACATGAGGCCTAAACACTGCCTAATGACAGTTCTTTAGGCAGTGTATAGGCTGCGCTGACAACCACTCTCAGTGATGGGATCTTAAATCTACCACAGGTGGCTCTAATATCTATGTGTTTTATTCTGAAGTAAATGGCAAAGATTCATAAAAAAAATGTTCTCACCCTGTCATTATAGGGTGTGAGAAGGATGACATGAAATAGTCATCCAAAAAAGTTTGATACAGAAGGCTGTAGCATTGTAAAATGTATAAAAGTGAGGTCATTTTGTGAATGCACTGTAAGTTTAGAGCTAAAACACTTACCAATAGTATTTCTCAGGATGTCTGGTGGTAGCTGTGGTTTTTGAGAGTCATCTGCTCCACTGAGCGTCCCCCTGCGTCCCTGAAGAGAGTGTGTGGCTAAAGTGTCTCTGTCAAAAAGCATCATGAGGAGAGCGCCTGTGTACTTCTTATAGTCCTCGATCTCGGCTATTCGCTCGTACAGGTTTTTGGGCACTCGGATATTCTCTGCCAGATACAGATAATTCTCATCATCCTGTAAAAAACATAAAAATAAAATTATTTACTGGATTTAATTAAGTTTACAATTATCCTAGACATAATAGGTGGCAGTGTATTCACAAAAGTAACTGCTTCAAAGAACAAATGGTGATGTTCTCAAACCTGGCATCCTAACGCTACACCTGAGCCCTGGGGCTTTGGGTCGTCCCGTGCTGCTGTGTCATTATGACTCTGCTTTCAACTCACTTTTCGACCTAGTCTTTTTGCCGAGCCGTGTTCAGTGTAAATTTAGACACCAAACTGTTTCATTATTAGGACCGCCATGTTTCAAGCATGTTATCATTTAACCGTCTACTGCCTAAATTATGAATATTGTCCCCAAAACTTTTGTAACATAAGGTGTGCTACTGCTATAGCAATCATTTCTGAAATATAATAATAATACAACGTTTTTTATAGAATACTAATATTAGTAGAAGAAGGGAACATAGGAAGCAGTCACAAATAAGATTTGGAAAAAAGACATCTGAAATCTCTCTTATGCTTGTGTGATGTGGCAGAATTTGGAGCCTCACCTCCTGAATATTCTGCACCGTGGGCACAGTGTGCACAGGGGCCACACTGTGCACCTCTGGCTGCATGTGAGAGGCCCTTGTGTCGGAGTCTGGCTCTGACATGTACGACATGGACTCGTCCTGAGCGCTGGGCTCGTTTGTCTGTAGAACGTGGTCCAAAGTGACTCTCAGCTCATGGGCCGTGTGCCGCATCTGCATCATCAAGGTGTTCATCTCTGTAAAAGTCAAAATTAAATGAAAGATAGAGGCGTCAAGGTAGGCCTATCATAATCATTACTATATTTACTTCCATCCATCCATTTTCTACCCTTTAATCCATTTCTGGGTCAGGGGGGTGGCAGACAGAGATGCCACCCAAGTCTCATAGCACCAGCCCCTCACTGACCCTCTGCAGGTGGTGAGTCCACAGGAGGACGGCTGCTCTCTGAGTGTGAGCATAGCCTTGATCTCTCAGTGGGGGGGCTTTGGGCAAAGTGGGGTTAAGTGTCTTGCCCAAGGACACAACGACAGCAGTCATCAGTGGGAGTCGGTGGAGAAGGTGCAGAGGTGGGAATTGAACCCACGACCTTCTGGCCAATGCTCTACCAACTGAGCTACTGTCGCCCCTATATTTACTTAACAATCAATAATTAACAGTGACTTTGGAACTCAAGGACGCCCAGACTTCCCAATCCACACAAACACTTTCTCTAGCTCCTCCAAGGGAATCCTAAGGCGTTCACTGGGCAGCTGAGAGACAGAGGCCCTCCAACATGTCCTGAGTCTTCGCCGTGGCCCTGTGCCGGTGGGTCCTGCCCAGGAGGAAGCGTCCTTGAGGCATCCAAAACAGATGCACGAGCAAACTCAACTGACATTGTTCTCCATGTCAATTAAGTTTGCTCATGCATCTGTTTTGGAGCGGCTCTACTCCGAGATCCTCCTGTATGATAGAGCTCTTCATCCTATCTCTAAGTGAGCACCCAGCCACTCTGTGGAGGACACTCATTTTGACCACTTGTATCAGTGATCTCCTCCTTTTGGTCATTACCCAAAGCTTATGACAGGAGGGTGCAACATGGATTGACCAGTAAATCAAGAGCTTTGCCTTTCAACTCACCCCTCTCAGTGCACGCTGCGACCCTCAGTAGCATCTGGTTGTAGGGCTGTGACATTGTATTCATATAAAATCATTTGTGAATAAAATTGAAGAAAATAATAGTTGTGCAGACCTCCCTCAATTTGGAATAATATGTGATATATTTTAGAACAAAAACAAGTGTGTAAGAAAATTAACTGTTTGCTGAAAATAAGGAGCTCAATAAAGTCATATGTAATATTTTTTTCTTAATGAACCATGGCAGTAAAGTAAAGTATACCTTTGAGCTCCCGTAGCTCTCTCTCTGCCAGAATCCGACACCGGCGCTCATACTTCAGCTGTGCCTGGAGCTGCTCTATCTTCAGCAGCAGACTGATGGTGTCTGTTCTGAGTCCGGTACTGGCAATATTGTCCTCATCAAAAATCTGCTCGTTCTCCTGTTAAAAAAACCCCAAAAGAAAATAGTACAATTACTGTACAGGAGTTTAATAATGTGCATGGGTTTTGTTATTTGTTGTCACCTCATTGTTGACATAGGGGGAGTACGAGCCCTCCTCTGTGAGCCTGTACCGGCTCTCGTCACACTCCTGACCGTCTGGCCCGATCTTTATCATCTTCACTGGGGGAGAGGTGGAGGGGCCCCCCGCATCTCTCTTGGGTGGCATTGAGCCTGAGGAATAAAAAAATGTTAGCTGACAAACAAGTGTGTAAGCAAAGACTGCACTGTTAGAATAATCACACGAAATAAAAGCTATAAGTTAGTTTACACGTCGCATCCACACCCCCGTCTGCCCCTCCTACCCTCTCCTACCAGCCTCACAATGCCCCGCGCCTGAGAGCCATCCTCTGTGGACCATAGTGTGGATGAGCGGGTTTACAGCCTGGATCATCTGAGGAGGAGCTCACCTGCGCCTGTGTCTCGACCCCGGGAATATACAGCAGTGTCAGTCTCTAAGGACAAAGACTGCGCAGTAAATGGAAATACTGCGTAGTAGAGGAAGTAGTACTACTACTGCAGTACTACAGTGGATGTGTCCCGTTTAGTAAACGCTTATTTGTGAAACTTGCGCAATGTCACAATGTATAATAATGTTGGAAATGTCGTTTCCGTATTTATCATGAGTGTGACACGCTTTGCACCTTCACACGCTCCTCGGTATCGGGTTTTAAAGTGTTTACAATCGGGCACGGAACACTCTTGCATACACGGCTTCCCCGAGGGAAGTATTTTGCTACAGTACAATTTCCTGCACGACCAAAATAAAAATCTATCCAATCATATCACTTCATTTTGATAAAGGCGGAACTTATGGACAACAGGCCAATCAGCGCTCAGAAAAGGCTTTTCTGACTTCCTAGTTCGGTCGGCGTGCGCTGTGCTTCCATGTGGTTTGATCCAGACACCGAGAGTTGAATGTTGATGGTTAGAACTTAGAAGTCGTTTAATTTACAGCTTTCTTTTACATTAATCTGATGCCAAGGTCTTTGCACCATGGCATCGACGTTTTTTATAAAAGGAAAAGACAACCAAAAGTTTGCCAGAAAGAACAAAAACACAGCAGTAAAACGGAAGGTAAGTGATTGTTAGCCCAGACTGCTAACTCACCCGACTGCTGCAGTGGGAACATTGTATATCTGAGTATATGTGTATGTCAATGCTATTTTTTATCACTGATCAAAGACATTTGTATTGCAGAATGACGGAAACACTAAAGTTAATCCCAAGGCCAAGAAACCCAATAAACACAACGAGGAAATATCCAGCGATTCAGAAACAGAAGGGTAGCTCTTGCTTCTTTAACCTTTTATGTATCTCATGTTAGAGTCTTTAAAGTCATATTTTTCCCCTAGTGCTGTCGTTTCAAATAAGAAAAAGGCAAGAGAAGAGTTTGAATATGATGAAACGCCTCAAGAAAAGAAGCTCAGGTTGGCTAAGAAGTATCTTGAACAGTTGCAAGAGGAAGGCAAGTGTTACAAATTAACTACTATTATTTGATTCTGTTTACGTAAATATCCTAAACTTAAGTGTAATGTCATTTCAGAGGAGAAAAAAGCGGACGATGAGTCATTTGAGACAGATTTGATTGCAGGAAGACTTCAAGAAGAAGTTGTAAGTGATTGCGTTCAATAAATATAATCGCAAATAAAGATAACTTGATTATTCTTGTGGTCAATTTCAGCTTGAACAGAAAGGAAAACTCCAACGACTTATTGCCAAAGACGTAAGTATATTTATATAAATGCAAAGTGTGTTAGATCAAATAAATGATATCTCTTTTGTAGTTACTGCCGCCTGATCCCTCAGAAATTCGTGTTTTAAGAGGTCACAAACTTCCTGTCACTTGTCTCGTCATCTCGTCTGATGAAAAATACATCTTCTCTGCCTCCAAAGACTGTTCAATTATTAAATGTATGTATACTTCTCTTATTCAGACTACAACTACAATGTTAAGCCTTACTTAAGCCCTCCACAAGTTCAGCGAGGCATGACCCAAATGATTCTTGTTTGTGATGTTTCGTGGATTTTGTCACATTAGAGACCAACCCCTCTGCAAGACCATGTACACTCAGACATACTGTTAATCTAGATTCTAGAATATTTATTTTCAAGTTATGTGACCTACATTTTAATGTATTACACGACAAAATATACAGAACAGAGTTGACTTACAAATTATCTGGGGCGTATATGCAATGTACTGTGCACAACAGGCATATAATCACTTCATAGCGCCCCATATCTGTGTCTGAAACAACATACATTACTGAAAACTTAAACCACAGCCGACTATACATGAACACTCACCTGAAGCAGCTTCTCGCCTCTTAGCGCCTCAAACATTAAGAAAGGTATATGTCCAACAGGTTTAGAAGTCTGACTTTGCAGATCACCGCGTAAATGGTCCCAAAGTTCACTTGCTATAGTCTTTGTGTCTGAATGAAATCATCCGTGGATTAGAGCCGCTGTTAACGCTGCGCACACTTCAGTTCCCTTATTTTACTGCTGAAACTACCACTATTCATCACCAACATCCGAGTCGCTTTGATGCCACTTTCCTTGTCCTGTAAAATTGTCCCCAATGTTTGTCCAGGTTTGATTGAAGGAAATGTACAACCTTTTAAGATAATTGTTATTGCTACTTTAGGTAGGAGGTGTTTTTCCTGAATCAGATGCAGCCCTTCCATTTGTGAATTGTGACTGTGAGACAGAAAATGGTATCAGATTATCCTCAGTGGTTTTTGTCACAATCTCAGGAGGCAAAGATTTGTGTAGCCAGCTTTAGCATTAAGAAAAGACAGTCATAAGTATGGATGATTTTTACCTGAAGTTGTCATGTTACTGTTACTAGACAGTTGTTAAACGGTAACTATATATTATTTCTGATTATGTTTTCACATTTAAGGGGATGTTCAAAGTGGAAAGAGGCTACATACAATTAAAGGTGTGAGAAAAGGAGATCAGCATGTGGGACACTCTGCCTGTATCCTGTGTTTGACCATATCGTCTGATGGAAAGTACTTGGTGAGCACCTAAATAATCTCTTTATTAAGAATGTTTGGATTTTCACTTTCACATTTCTTTCAGGCTACTGGTGATATGAATAAACTAATCATGATTTGGGAAGCTGACACGTGTAAACATCTCTACAAGTTTACGGGGCATAAAGGGCCAGTGTCTGTAAGTATAAAGGGCATAACAAAGATGGGGACTATGAACTATTTATTTAAGGACGTTTTCACAACTGGGCCCAGTCTGGTGCCAAAGTTGTTTTACGCATCATTCTCAGAGCTGGCACTGCTTGGATTCATGACTTTTTGCAAACCAAATGAAGAGAAAAAAGTGGCGCCCCTGACCTGTAGAGGCTGTTCACAGAAATCCTAATTTGATTTGTTTGTGCATTCACGCTAACCAAGTATTCTGATTCATATTACAATTGTATTGTGAATGCGCCTCAGCTTGTACAAGTGAAGGAAAGCCACAGTGGATGCTTGGCTTTTAAATCATGTGAACCTCATTACATTCCTAAAAATCCTGATGCATTGTTATATAAAGCACATTTCTATTCCACATTTTAGTATGTATTTATTAATGTTTAAAAGTCAGTCAGGATAAAACTTGTATAGTGTCATGGACTGAATGTTACTTATTTGTCTCTCTTCTAGGGGCTTTCTTTCAGAAAAGGAACTCACGATCTGTACAGTGCGTCTCACGATCGATCTGTGAAAGTCTGGAATGTGGATGAAAATGCCTACGTTGAAACGCTGTGAGAATCTCATGACTTGTTTATTTTGTTGTCAGATGTGTGGCGTTGTGTAAATGGGCTGTGGTTTCAGATTCGGACACCAGGACAGCATCACGGGGCTGGACAGCTTGAGTCGTGAGCGCTGTGTGACAGTGGGGGGTCGTGATGGCAGCGTGCGCGTGTGGAAGATCGCGGAGGAATCACAGCTCGTGTTTCACGGACACAAGTGAGTGACTGAATATGTGTCAGTGTGTGAACACCCCACGCTATAGATAGAATTACACTGGAAAGTAGACCTTCATTAAGAAATGTGTCATCTAAGGTTTGTACACAAGTTATGTCCGGTGTGTATGCGTCTTTATTTCCCATATGCTCTTTTCAGAAGAGCATCATGTAACTATATGTGACTATTGTCCAGAAAGTAGAAATGTGATGAACAAATCACTTTGATTGGATCTATAGGATTTAAAGTAGCCATATGTAAGATTTTCATTAAAGTCATCATTAAATTACCTAATCTGTCACAAGGCATTCATAAACCATGCTCTTTTAAAATACTTCTTTAACTGATAACAGTGGTTCAGCCGAGATATTTGAATTTCAAAACTATTTTTACAGCCCGTAAATCTTATTGCTTTCATTTCGATTTGTGATCTGGGTTGCTAATCTCACTGGTGAAGTAACATGTGTTCGCAGAACTAAAAACGGTCTCATTATGATTCTCAGATCATTAAGACACTTGAAGGCGGATAAAAGAAATGTCTGATGCAAAACTTGATACGTTCATTGACATTTGGGCAGTGACGTGCAGTGAGGATTGTGATTAGGGAGGCACTGAGTTTAAAAGTCAGATTTACCATCTTTATTAAAATAAAATAGCATTTAATCACCAATGCAATAACACCCACAAACTTTATATACAGTAAAGATAAGAAAACCAGCTTCTTTTAATAATCTCACAACAAATCTATCTGCTGACTCTGCTCCGCATCAAACAACATCAGCACAGGTGCGAGAGACGCGAGCAGAGAGAGAGACAGAGACGCGAGCAGAGAGAGACAGAGACGCGAGCAGAGAGAGACAGAGACGCGAGCAGAGAGAGAGAGACAGAGACGCGAGCAGAGAGAGAGAGAAGACGCGAGCAGAGAGAGAGAGAGACGCGAGCAGAGAGAGAGAGAGAGACGCGAGCAGAGAGAGAGAGAGAGACGCGAGCAGAGAGAGAGAGAGAGACGCGAGAGAGAGAGAGAGAGACGCGAGCAGAGAGAGAGACGACGAGCAGAGAGAGAGACGCGAGCAGAGAGAGAGACGCGAGCAGAGAGAGAGACGCGAGCAGAGAGAGAGACGCGAGCAGAGAGAGAGACGCGAGCAGAGAGACGCGAGCAGAGAGAGAGACGCGAGCAGAGAGAGAGACGCGAGCAGAGAGAGAGACGCGAGCAGAGAGAGAGACGCGAGCAGAGAGAGAGACGCGAGCAGAGAGAGAGACGCGAGCAGAGAGAGAGAGACGCGAGCAGAGAGAGAGACGCGAGCGAGAGAGAGAGACGAGAGCAGAGAGAGAGACGCGAGCAGAGAGAGACGCGAGCAGAGAGAGACGCGAGCAGAGAGAGACGCGAGCAGAGAGAGAGACGCGAGCAGAGAGAGAGACGCGAGCAGAGAGAGAGAGCGAGCGAGCGAGCAGAGAGAGAGACGCGAGCAGAGAGAGAGACGCGAGCAGAGAGAGAGACGCGAGCAGAGAGAGAGACGCGAGCAGAGAGAGAGACGCGAGCAGAGAGAGAGACGCGAGCAGAGAGAGAGACGCGAGCAGAGAGAGAGACGCGAGCAGAGAGAGAGACGCGAGCAGAGAGAGAGACGCGAGCAGAGAGAGAGACGCGAGCAGAGAGAGAGACGCGAGCAGAGAGAGAGACGCGAGCAGAGAGAGAGACGCGAGCAGAGAGAGAGACGCGAGCAGAGAGAGAGACGCGAGCAGAGAGAGAGACGCGAGCAGAGAGAGAGACGCGAGCAGAGAGAGAGACGCGAGCAGAGAGAGAGACGCGAGCGAGAGAGAGAGACGCGAGCAGAGAGAGAGACGCGAGCAGAGAGAGAGACGCGAGCAGAGAGAGAGAGACGCGAGCAGAGAGAGAGAGACGCGAGCAGAGAGAGAGACGCGAGCAGAGAGAGAGACGCGAGCAGAGAGAGAGACGCGAGCAGAGAGAGAGACGCGAGCAGAGAGAGAGAGAGGAGAGCGCGAGCAGAGAGAGAGACGCGAGCAGAGAGAGAGACGCGAGCAGAGAGAGAGACGCGAGCAGAGAGAGAGACGCGAGCAGAGAGAGAGACGCGAGCAGAGAGAGAGACGCGAGCAGAGAGAGAGACGCGAGCAGAGAGAGAGACGCGAGCAGAGAGAGAGACGCGAGCAGAGAGAGAGACGCGAGCAGAGAGAGAGACGCGAGCAGAGAGAGAGACGCGAGCAGAGAGAGAGACGCGAGCAGAGAGAGAGACGCGAGCAGAGAGAGAGACGCGAGCAGAGAGAGAGACGCGAGCAGAGAGAGAGACGCGAGCAGAGAGAGAGACGCGAGCAGAGAGAGAGACGCGAGCAGAGAGAGAGACGCGAGCAGAGAGAGAGAGACGCGAGCAGAGAGAGAGACGCGAGCAGAGAGAGAGACGCGAGCAGAGAGAGAGACGCGAGCAGAGAGAGAGACGCGAGCAGAGAGAGAGACGCGAGCAGAGAGAGAGACGCGAGCAGAGAGAGAGACGCGAGCAGAGAGAGAGAGACGCGAGCAGAGAGAGAGACGCGAGCAGAGAGAGAGAGAGAGAGACAGAGACGCGAGAGAGAAGAGAGCAGAGAGAGAGAGAGAGACAGAGACGCGAGCAGAGAGAGAGAGAGAGAGAGAGAGACAGACGCGCGAGCAGAGAGAGAGAGAGAGAGAGAGAGACAGACGCGCGAGCAGAGAGAAAGAGAGACAGACGCGCGAGCAGAGAGAGAGAGAGACAGACGCGCGAGCAGAGAGAGAGAGAGACAGACGCGCGAGCAGAGAGAGAGAGAGACAGACGCGCGAGCAGAGAGAGAGAGAGACAGAGACGCGAGCAGAGAGAGAGAGAGACAGAGACGCGAGCAGAGAGAGAGAGAGACAGAGACGCGAGCAGAGAGAGAGAGAGACAGAGACGCGAGCAGAGAGAGAGAGAGACAGAGACGCGAGCAGAGAGAGAGAGAGACAGAGACGCGAGCAGAGAGAGAGAGAGACAGAGACGCGAGCAGAGAGAGAGAGAGACAGAGACGCGAGCAGAGAGAGAGAGAGACAGAGACGCGAGCAGAGAGAGAGAGAGACAGAGACGCGAGCAGAGAGAGAGAGAGACAGAGACGCGAGCAGAGAGAGAGAGAGACAGAGACGCGAGCAGAGAGAGAGAGAGAGGAGAGACGCGAGCAGAGAGAGAGACGCGAGAGAGAGAGAGAGACGCGAGCAGAGAGAGAGAGAGAGAGAGACGCGAGCAAGAGAGAGAGAGAGAGAGAAGAGAGGCAGAGAGAGAGAGAGAGAGAGAGAGAGAGAGCGAGCAGCAGAGAGAGAGAGACAAGACGAGCGAGAGAGAGAGAGACGCGAGCAGAGAGAGAGACAGAGACGCGAGCAGAGAGAGAGACAGAGACGCGAGCAGAGAGAGAGACAGAGACGCGAGCAGAGAGAGAGACAGAGACGCGAGCAGAGAGAGAGACAGAGACGCGAGCAGAGAGAGACAGAGACGCGAGCAGAGAGAGAGACAGAGACGCGAGCAGAGAGAGACAGAGACGCGAGCAGAGAGAGAGAGACAGAGACGCGAGCAGAGAGAGAGACAGAGACGCGAGCAGAGAGAGAGACAGAGACGCGAGCAGAGAGAGAGACAGAGACGCGAGCAGAGAGAGAGACAGAGACGCGAGCAGAGAGAGAGACAGAGGAGCAGGAGCAGAGAGAGACAAGACGCGAGCAGAGAGAGAGAGAGACGCGAGCAGAGAGAGAGACAGAGACGCGAGCAGAGAGAGAGACAGAGACGCGAGCAGAGAGAGAGACAGAGACGCGAGCAGAGAGAGAGAGCGAGAGAGACAGAGACGCGAGCAGAGAGAGAGAGAGAGAGACGCGAGCAGAGAGAGAAGAGACCGAGCGAGAGAGAGAGAGAAGAGACGCGAGCAGAGAGAGAGACGGAGAGACAGAGACGCGAGCAGAGAGAGAGAGACAGAGCGAGCAGAGAGAGAGACAGGACGCGAGCAGAGAGAGAGACGCGAGAGAGAGAGAGACGCGAGCAGAGAGAGAGAGAGAGACGCGAGCAGAGAGAGAGACGCGAGCAGAGAGAGAGACGCGAGCAGAGAGAGAGACAGAGACGCGAGCAGAGAGAGAGACGCGAGCGAGCAGAGAGAGAGAGAGACGAGCAGAGAGAGAGACAGAGAGACGCGAGCAGAGAGAGAGAGAGACGCGAGCAGAGAGAGACAGAGACGCGAGCAGAGAGAGAGAGCGAGCAGAGAGAGAGACGCGAGCAGAGAGAGAGAGACGCGAGCAAGAGAGAGAGAGACGCGAGCAGAGAGAGAGAGACGCGAGCAGAGAGAGAGAGAGACGAGCGAGCAGAGAGAGAGACGCGAGCAGAGAGAGAGACGCGAGCAGAGAGAGAGACGCGAGCAGAGAGAGAGACGCGAGCAGAGAGAGAGACGCGAGCGAGAGAGAGAGAGCGAGCAGAGAGAGAGACGCGAGCAGAGAGAGAGACGCGAGCAGAGAGAGAGACGCGAGCAGAGAGAGAGACGCGAGCAGAGAGAGAGACGCGAGCAGAGAGAGAGACGCGAGCAGAGAGAGAGACGCGAGCAGAGAGAGAGACGCGAGCAGAGAGAGAGACGCGAGCAGAGAGAGAGAGACGCGAGCAGAGAGAGAGACGCGAGCAGAGAGAGAGACGCGAGCAGAGAGAGAGACGCGAGCAGAGAGAGAGACGCGAGCAGAGAGAGAGACGCGAGCAGAGAGAGAGACGCGAGCAGAGAGAGAGACGCGAGCAGAGAGAGAGACGCGAGCAGAGAGAGAGACGCGAGCAGAGAGAGAGACGCGAGCAGAGAGAGAGACGCGAGCAGAGAGAGAGACGCGAGCAGAGAGAGAGACGCGAGCAGAGAGAGAGACGCGAGCAGAGAGAGAGACGCGAGCAGAGAGAGAGACGCGAGCAGAGAGAGAGACGCGAGCAGAGAGAGAGACGCGAGCAGAGAGAGAGACGCGAGCAGAGAGAGAGACGCGAGCAGAGAGAGAGACGCGAGCA